CCGCAGAGGCTGCGCCCCGCGAGGAGGTGACCAGGAAGCCGGGCACCTGACTCTGAGCCCTGGCCTGGGGCGCCCCGTTTAGCCGCTGGCTCTCGCGGGGGGCGTGGACCCAAGCAGGAGGCCAGCCTGGCCTTTGGGCGACCTGGCCGAGCGGTTAACCCTCCGGTTATACCCTGGCCGTGTGACCTTGGGCTAGTCACTTTACCTCCCCGATTCTCAGAGGAACGAAGTTCTGCTGGTCCTGGTAGACGCTCAGGAAATGGGGGCTGCAGGTGTTCCTGGGAAGGAGTTGGCTCCTGGCACCTGCTTTTAACTTGAGGGTGGGAAACCAGCGTGGAGCTGAAAGTGACCCCCTGCAGACTCCAGGCTGAACAACCCCTTCCTAGGAGACTTGCATGAAAATCCCAGAAAGCCTTTAATGACTACATGTGTGTCTGTGTGTGTGTGTGTAAATATAGAATTATATCCACCTAGAGGAAAAACTGGCGCTGTGTGCATACTGTGGAAGGGTTTTTCTTAGAAGAGTATGTGTTGCTGACTGCTGTTTTTGCAGGAGCCGCAGCAGGATTTTGGTGGGAGATTTGGTGGAAAGGGGGAGTAAGCTTTCCACAGTGAACTTCTATATATTTCCATTTTGAACTATGCAATCATTTTACTTAACCAAAAAGTTGTATAAACTTGACCTCCACTGTTAAAGTGAAAGGAGGGAAGGATCCCCAAGCCCTTTCCTTCTGGGTTTCTCCGTTTTTTTATGATTTCTTCACTGCCCTCTTGCTGCCTCCTGCTGCTCCCTCTGGGCGTTTGGGGTGTACAGCTGGGATTCCTGCAGGAGGGGTGCACCCCAGGGGCACAGCCAGGGCATTCTGGGGGAATTCCACCGAGTGGCGGGTTTGACAGATGATGGGGCACAGAGCATGCTGGGAGTCTTGTCAGTTTCCTGGGTTCAGCCTCCCTCGAGGGTGACAGATGCTCTCTTCAGGCTGGGTAGTTTCCCTAGATGTGGCTGGTGTCACCTCCTTGCTGCCTGGAGCTCACATTTCACACCCAGAGTGGGGAGGGCAGTAAGAGGATCAGGGAGGAGGTTCTGAGGTTAAATTTGAGGGAAGAAAGAATGCCCCCGTTCTCTGAACTTCAGGTCGATGGAGGGTTCCTCACGCCTCTGAAAGGAGCTGGTGAAATCTGGGCACTTTTATCCATCTACCAAATATTTATGGGCCAGGGACTGGGAATTTAGAGAGGCTCATGTTCCCAAGGGAGACTAGAGTAAACAAACGAACCCATAGGGTTAGACTCTGTGAACCAGATACAACGGGGGAGGCGAATGGAGGAGAGGGGGACTTTTTCTCTGCGGTGGTACAAACCCTGAATAAGAAGCAGCCAGCATCATGACAGTCAGTGGCAGGGCACTTTGGGCAGAGGGAACAGCAAATGCAAAGGCCCTGTGGCCGGAACACGTTGGCAACAGTAACTGAGAACTGTTGGAGATGACGCAGGAGTCCTCAGGGCCCAGGCTGTGCCAAGAGCCTGCCTTCAGGGGACTGGCCTGAGCGCGTGCCTTACACTATGTCTACATTTCATCTACTGGAAAATGGGCGTGGCAAGCAGCTTTTGGAGTTGGGGACTGAATAAATAGGAAGTGTTCATGTTATAGGCCACCCCTTAAACTCGCTTGTACATCCCGACCACTTCCATAGCTGAGTTAAGTCTTGGCTCCTTCCTTCCAGGTATGTGGCTATGAGCACATGACCACCTCCCCGGGCTCTGTGCCCCTCTGCGACCTTGGGTAGCCGTGTGGATGATGTGCTGGGTGTTGTGTGGGACAGTGTGAGTCCCACGGTGTCCTGGGCAGGGCAGGCTGAGCCCCTGGGTCGGTGGCAAGCCCTGGCACCTGGCACACACGTACGTGGAATCCTCCAGGAAGTGACAGATGGGGAAACTGAGGCTCAAAGAAGTAAAGCAACTTGCCCGCAGCCCCACAGCTGGTGAAGTGGAGCAGTAGGAGGTGGAAGGATTCACAAGGCTGATTTCTTCTGCTGCTTTGCTTTCATTGTATTTTATTCTGTCGTAGACTTTTAGCAACCTGCAAGGGATAGGAAGAGCCCACCCATGTTGCTCCTACCTCCAGGCCTTTGCACAAGCCATCTGCTCTGCCCAGAGCCCTATTTCTATTCCGTTGTGCATGGTTCAGTCACCATCATCTGAGTTAAGATTTCAAACCTTCCCTCTTCATCCGGTCTTCTCTTTATGAAGCTAACGCTCTTCATCCAGGGCGTGGCTTGGCTGTAGCTCCCTGCTGGAAAGTCAGCCCTGGCTCCTCTTCACCAAGCCTCTGCGACCCAGTGCCTGTCCTCACCCTCGGGTCCTCGCTCCTTTGTTCCCTCCTGTCACAACAGGCATCGTTCCGAGTCCTCATCGGCTCTGTCACCTGCCACCCCCTCCAGACTCGCAGCTCCCCGCGAGCAGAGGACTGGTGGCCGTGTTCCTCTCTGGACGTGGCTTCTGTTTGCTGTGAGAACCCAGGAGGCCTACGTGGCAGGGGTGAGGTCCCGGGCACTTTGTAACCCGAGGTGTTGCCCCCTTCCCCAGCCGGCCTTGGCCATGCCACCTTCCCGTGTGTCTGCTTGCTGCCCCACACGCTGGGCACCCTGGCCTTCAACACAGAGGCGGCCCCACCAGAAATAGGCCGAGCAGGCACTGCCCACACAGGGCACGAAGGTCTGCACGCCCACTCCCTCCTCCCAGCCTGATCTCCCGTTGATTGATTTGCAACATAAACATGCAGGCATCGCTGCTGAGCTGGGAAAACGTCCTACTCAGGTTGTTAAAATTCTTATGCAAAGCTGAGCCCAGCCATCCTGGTGGCCTTTGAGTTTTGTTTCTGAGCTCATCTCTCCCACTCAGGGATGGACTTGGCCCCGGGATCCTGCATCAGAGCCAGGCCCACCTTGAGCTCACCCAGAAGTGGCCCCGCTCCCACCTCCAGTGCCTGCCCACTCATGGGGTCCCAAAGGAAATGACAGGAGGGCTCTGGGAAAGGTGGAAGGCCTGCTTTTCCTTCAGAACAGCTCCACAGGCTTGTCTCTCAGATGCCAAGAAACTGTCAGCAGGAAAAAGAAAAAACAAATCTGCAGACCCAGAGTTCAGATCTTACAGGAACTGCTACTGTTTATCAAGTGCCTGTCACCTGCCTGATGCCAGGCCATGCAGTTCTTCTGTGGCGGCCGATGGAGCCTCCCAGGACCCCTGATATTTTCCCATAGTATAGCTGAGGAAATTGAGGCTCGGGACACGAAGTGGCCATCCCAGGTGACAGGCGGATGGGAGGCAGACTTGGGGCTCCATTGCTGGTCTCACCCGGATCGGACCTGTTCACACAGAGAGGAATCAGATGTGGAGGGAGGGAGGGCCGGGTGGCCCAGGCTGGCCCGTGGGCATGACGCTGGATCTTTACCAGATTCTCACCCTGGGAAACGCTCTGTCCTTGGCCATTACCACATCCGTATGGTGGCTTTCTGAGGAACCAGATAGATTCTGGGCTCTCCAGAAGCTTGGAGTTACCCAGAGGCCACTTGCAGACAGGGAGGAAGCGCTGACGGGGACCAGGTGGTGATCAGCACGTGCTGCTGTGGTACCCACTGACCAGGTGCTGGGTACTGGCCATGCCATCCTCATTTTTCCGCTCCCTGTGCTGGCCGTGGCCATCTCCTGGGGTCCTCGCAGTCTGTGACTCCGAGAGAGAGGACACAGGGCTGCCCAGTTCCTCTGGGAGGGGCTTCAGGGCTCTCCTCGGAATCCCAGCAGCAACGGTATGTTCCATAGGCAAATCACACTCTGTAAGAAAGTGATTAAAACAATCACAGTTTTATTTTACCATAATGAAGGCCAGTGGTTTCTTGGCAGAAGAGGACAGTGGGGGCTGGGGAGGGCTGGCGTTCCTGCGGCTGGGCTCTCTGGGCAGGCAGGGGTGTTCCAGCTCTGGAGCTGTCGGCACGGTGCTGAAGACGGAAGGCGTGCCCAGGTGACCCCAGCCTCTTCATGTCCAGGCTGTCCCTCCCCACTCGGTGCGTACGGCGTGGACGCTTGGGACCAATGGCGAGCAGTGGGCAGAACTCTGGGCCTCACTCTGGCCCGTGCTGATAGTTGTCCTTGTCCAGCTGAGCTGCATCATCTTGCAGTGAGAGCCACAGAGCAGGGCCCTGGGGGCAGCTGTGTGCTGGTGCTGGCCTGAGCACAGCACCGTGATCCTGCTCTATGCCCTGCTGAGCCACCTCGTCCAGCCACATCCCTCTCTGAGCTGCCAGCCCCACCCCTTGAAAAGGCAGCAGGTGACGGTGTCTGCAGTCCTTCAAGGGGTATAAGACAGCGGCTGCTATTCTGTGGACACCGGATGTCAACCATCTTCCGTCTCCTGAGAGCCCACTGAGGGCTGGGCTGTCATCATTACCAGATTAGAGATGGGGAAACTGAGGTTCAGGCACATGAAGTGACTGCCTGAGGTCATTTAGATGCCAAATTCAAATCCCAAACCTGGCCTTCTGGTGGAGTTCTCAATGCAGGGAGAACCTGCCCCTCCTACCTGACAGAAACCCCCCAGGATCCAGAGAGGCTCCAAGTCTGCAAGTCCTGATACCTGGGAGGGGCGATGTCACCTCATAACTAGTGTTCCCCACACGTGCACTCTGTTGGCAAAGGGACGGTTGTCCCTTAAGGCAGGCAGGAGTGATGCGGAAAGTTCTAGAACACGTGTACCCGTGGGGGGCAGTGTAAGGGTGCTCGTGGGTGGCACAGCTGGCCGGAAGAGGCGTGGTCTTCCTGGGGCTCACGTCTGTCCCCAGAGAAGCTTGTGCTAGCCCTGTGGGGACGCATGCAGGCCACCGGGGCCTTCATGGCAGAATGGATTGGGAGTAATTAGGTCCCTGCTGCATCTTCACCCTCCCCGCCAGCAAGACGGCTTTGCTCAAGTTAATGGGCCTGGGAGTGCAGCAGGGACTTCCTGACACTCAGGCCCACAGCTGCACCGTGCACCTCAATGAAGCTTTGGTGTTGGCAGAGCACTTGATTTCTGGTGGCTTCAGCAGAGGGAGTGAGGTGCCCACTGCTCTGGGAGAAAAGTCAGGGCTGCCTCTGCCTGGCTGGGGTCACAGTGCAAGGTGAGGGCCCAGGGGAGGAGCTGGGCACCTTGGTGCTGCCAGCTAGACTGTCGCTGCTTCATTATTAATTCATAAAGCCTGAAGGTCGAATGGGTGATTTCTCCTGGTGGCTGCGGTTGCCTTAAGCCCTAGGACAAAGAGGCGCTTTGTTGTGCCTGCAGTGTGACCTTTGAAGGTGGGCGCGCTGTCAGAGCTGGCCTTCCGTTCTGGGCATGGCTCCCCGGAGGTGACCGAGCTCAGAGAAGGTTCTGAGTGCCTCAGTCCTGGTGGCAGGCAGGAAACACAGGTGCTAATTGGGGCTAAGTCACAGGAAGTGCTGGTTACACCCCAGGGTGGGCTGTCAGAGGGGCCTAAGCCCCTCCTCAGCCCTGATGCTAGGGTCTCAGTGAGCAGAGCCCCTCCGAGGAGCGCCCAGCACTCAGGCTGTGCCCAGCCACTAGTTCTGGGGGATTCCCTTGACTGGGCCTCATGTAATCTTGGGCTCTCAAGCCAGGCTCCCGAAGTGGCAGGTGGACGGGCCCCTCCCCTTCGTCCTTTATCAGCAGATGGACGTGAGTTTGAGTTCTGACACTGCCGCTTACTGTGTGGCAAGGCACTTGGTGTCCCTTGGCCTCAACTTCCTCATCTGCAAACTGGGAATCAAAGAACAGTGTCGTTGTTGAAGATGAAGTGAGAATCTGAATAAAGCTTGCAGTGTATCCCAACTGCCAGTAGTTAGTTGTTGACAAGTACAGGCTGAGCATCCCTAATGTGAAATCCAAGGTGCCACAAACCCAAGCTCTAAGGGCCGGTACAACACCACAGTGGAAAATTCCACCCTGCCGTCTTGGGAGGGTGGTGTCAAGGCATAGGCACAGGAAACATTGTGTAAGATCTCTCAGTCACATCTATATAGGGAGCATAAGTCGGTGTTGTTTAATGTTGGTTGGTAGCAATCACTTGAGGTACATGGACTCATTTTTTTTTTATTTTTAAAAAGCCTACAGAATTGGTTTTGTTTTAGGCAGACATTGATTCTTCTATATGGGTTTTTTTTCTTCTTTATTAGTTTCCATGGATTTTTCAGTAAGGCTCAGTGAGTTATAAGCTTTGAAGAAAGTTCCGCATATGTGAACAATTGATCATTTGGCTGAATATAAAATTTTAGATTGTTGGATTTTTTCTCTCAGTATTTCATTTTACTACTATTGAGAAATCAGCTCTTTGTCTAGTTAATATTTGCTTATAGAGACCTATCTTTTCTTTGTAAGTTTTTGTTGATGCTTTGTGTACGCTGCCTCGCTGTGGACTTGTTTGTATGTATTCTACCTGCAGCTGCTGTAAGCTGTTTCATTCTAAAGAAAACTCACGTCTTTCTCTATGAAATATTATCTGTCTCTTGGGGCCGAGGATTTAGCTCAGTGGTTCCTCCACCTGCCTTGCAAGCACAAGGAGTTCAATTCCCTGGTACCAAAGGAAAAAAAAAACTGGAAATATTATCTGTCTCCTTTCTTTTTATCATCTTCATTAGTAGTTTGTGTTAGAAACCTGTTGGGCCATCTTTTTTCATCCTGAATGACTCTTGACTTTTCCCCCCTTGAACCCAGAGCCTTAGAGCTGAGCTACATCTAGCTTTTTTCTTCATTTTTAAAAAAAATTGAGACAGTCTCACTAAGTTGTAGGAAGATTGAGTTTGCGATTCTCCCACCTCAGCCTCCGGATTGCTGGATTCCAGGAGTGTGCCACCACGCCTGGCCGATGTCATTCTTTACCTCTCTTCTAATTCTTTAGCTATTACAACTTTGCTGCCTTGACCTACCAAGTTTTTAAAAATGTACAATGCCATTTAAAAAAAAAGTGCTATGTGGCTTCCAAATTCACTTTTTCACAAAGTACTGTCTTTCTGTTCTTTGTAGTGATTTAAGGCTGTTGTGGCCTCTTCTGTTTCACCCTTTAGGGATGTCGTTCCTTGCAGAGACTGTCTGCTAACTCTTGCACATGGGAGTTCACTGGCTCCTGTGCTTTGGGTTTTGGTCACTAGCTCATCTCTGATGAGCCGCTCATCCTGGTGTTGGGTGCTTGGCATGTGCTGTCCGAAGTCCCTGAGCCTTTTCCCCAGTTAGCTAGCCAAGGCCTGGTGAGGAGGCTCGGTGGTAGAGCGCATGAGCAGGTCCCAGTTTCCGCTCCAGGACTGCCGACAAACAAACAAAACAATCGGCAGCCCCAGTCAAGTTGGGTTTCCTGCACCATCGCCGTCCAGACTTCTGCCCCAGGTGTATCGCAGGCCTCAAGTTTTGATGCCTCATGGGAGCCTCCGCTTTGCCCTACCGCCTCCCGGCACACAGTCCTTGTCGCTCTCTGGGCCAGGGGAGAGCGTTGTATGTGGCGACTTTGCGTGGGGATGGGGACAGGTGCTCGCATCTGCAGGCTTCGTGAGTCACTGGGTGGGCTTGACGTCCCTGCCTTTCGCTCTCGGCCTGGGACCATCTGATCCCCGACAGCTCAGCCGCGTCTGTCACTCGCCCTGCTGGGCCTCGGTTCCCCCCGGCACCTGGACAGGGCCCTTCCCTCAGATGCAGTGGCGTGTTTTTCTCATTTCCTCCAAGGTATGGTGTTGAGTGGTGAGGCGAACCTGGATCACTCAGGATGGCAGGAGCAGGAGTCCCTTGTCTTAATGTCCTGTGCAACATGCCCTGTCCCCAGCTGAGTCTGTCCCCACTTCATCTGGCCTCACCATAAATCTGGAGCAGAAGACAGCTCTTGAAGGATTCGAAAACCACTTCCTTGGATGCTCTGAAAGACGCCCACTCGCCGAAGCTCCAGTGATTCACAGTAGCTCCCCCCCCCACTGTATCTTGAGTCTTTTTATTAAAATGGAAACATCTTTGTCTCCTTCGTCACAAATGATTTGCATTCATTGTTCCAGGCATTTCTCGGTTTGGGCATGAAGCATAGCAAGTGATTATGAGGACAGGTTTCGGAGTCACAGACCCAGGTTTCAGCCTCCCTTCTCCACTTACAGCCGAGTGACCTTCGGCCAGTGACTCAAGTTCTCTGAGACTCAGTTTCCTGGTCTGTAAAGTGTGTGTGACAGCTAGGCTAGGAGGTGTGGGCTCTGTCAGAGGACTCGGTGAGCTAGTGCCTGCCCAGTGCTTGGCTTAGTTCCTGCTTCTGAGTCAGTGCTGACACTTGGTAGTTACCATTACTGCTATAAGGCACATGGTAAAGAATAGAACGTGGTTGTGGGAAGGTGAGCGTGGATGAGTGAGCAGACTGATTTTCAGAGCCACATGCACCCACTCTGACAGCTTTCTGAGCTGCCTCATTGCTCACAAATATATATATCACTTTCTCTGTGGCGCTAGGGATCAATCCCAGGGGGTGCTGAGCTACACCAGCCCTTCATTTTGAGACAGGGTCTCGCTGTGTAGCTCAGGCTGGCCTTGAACTCAAGATCCTCCTCTGTTAGCCTACCAAGTAGTTGTGATTACAGGCGTGCACCACCGTGCTCAGCTCGAGTAGGGTGTGTTCTAAAATCAACTCAGTTTACTCTGCCCCTCCCAGGGATGCATTCTGTTCAGAAAAAGCTCACAGAGGGCTGGGGATTTGGTTCAGTGGTACAGCGCCGGCCTAGCTAGCACAAGGTCCTGAGTTTGATCCCCAGTACCAAAAAAAAAAAAAAAAAAAAAAAA